GGTGGGTGGGCAGGATTATGAATGAAACAAAAAAAAGGAAGACAGAAACGACTTCACAACCAGTTTCCTATAATCCTCGTTCTCAAAGTGCACCACTGTGTTGCAATGCTTTATTCTACAGGTTCTAACACACTGTCCTCTACTTTCTTCCCTTCCAGCCTTCCTTACCTTAATGTCCCGATGCATGTTCCCTTTGCCGGGCGTTATTGCATGTACATCCCCCCTTTTCCTGCAGGTGCAACAGTTGTGCTGAGTCGCAAGTTCTCGGCTTCTCATTTCTGGTCGGACTGTAGACGTCACGACGCAACGGTTTTTCTGTACATCGGGGAGCTATTCCGCTATCTACTGGCACAGCCACAGGTTTTCACGTCTTAGGAGTGGTGTTGTCTTGTTTGTTTCTCTATTCTCTTTTACACTTACTGTAAACCCTTGTTTATAATGTAGGTTGGTCTCGTTACTATGGCGAGTTGAGATTCATTACGTTTAAAGTGAAATATGGGTGTAATTACTCGGTTGCAGGGATAAAACAAATTCACTGCTACCACCATCACCACCACCATCACCACCATAATCGCCATCATCATCATCATCATCATCATCATCATCATCATCATCATCATCATCATCATCATCATCATCATCATCATCATCATTATCATCATCATCATCATCATCATATCATCATCATTTCTTACTAGCGAGAGGCTAATTATCGTTTTAGAAATCAAAGTTAGATAAAGACATAAGGAAAAGTAAAAACTCAGCAATCAGCAATAATAGAAAACACCTAACTATCTTGTCATACAGAGCGAGCTGGACTCCAAGCATTCAGTGAGAGCAGTGTACGGCAACGGCCTCCGTCGAGACATCTGGTCAGAGGTAGAAAGACGTTTCCGCATTCCACAAATCATGGAGTTTTTCGGAGCTACTGAAGGAACTAGTCTATTTCTGAACGCCACAGGGAAGCCAGGAGCTGTGGGACGGCTGTCTCCACTGTTGGTGGGTACATATGTAGCATGATTTCATTATAATTTTTAAGCAAGTGTTGTGTTTGTAGTCTTTTGTAGACTTACCTGCTTTACATTTTAATGCGGTGATTTTTTCTTAAACAGGGCTTACGAATTGCACCGGCTGTCTAAAACGTGAGGACCCATGAAAAAAGCAATGTCTCGGTCATCTTTGGACCGGTATCAATTAAACTTGGAACTAATATAATCCAACCAAGCATATTTAAAACGAAGAACATTGATTTACGTATTAAAAATGCACAGTCCATCTTCTGGAACCATCACCCAGACATCTATAAAGCATTCTCAGCAGAATGTACCCCGATCGATCACAACCCTGTAGCTAGAAGCTGTTAAGAAGTAAAGTTCTCGTTTTACGCAGTCTTGGTTGACATTTTAAAAACTTGACACTTCTCAGACATGTATGTTGTTTTTCTTAATAAATGTATATTGAAGAATTTAACGTCCCTCGGGTTGAATTTTATTTGTTTGAAATTTTGTTGAAATTGGAGCAAAGATAGCCGAGTTATTGTCCTTTAAATGGGCCATTTCTTAAAAAGACACTCTGTTCTTAATTTATTTCGTTGTCTGTTTCACGAATTCTAGGTTCTAAAAGGATGATTCTTATAATAATTCCTGCAGTAGCTCTTAAAGACAGCATCGTCTAAGAATGCTATGGCAACAAAGAATAGACTATAGTTAGCTAGCTTTCACATTTTGTTTTGAATTCAAAAGACCGAGTGACCCTTGTGGTGTCGAAGAGAAGTGAAGTGAGAAGTACATGTACAATACATTTTGTGAGAAGACGCATTTTCACAGAAAGTACAACAGTCGAGAGTGGGGAATAGGGTTGTAGTTGTCTTCTGTTATACTACAATACTAGACAGCTGATTGTCTTGAAGCGGATTTAAAATGACAAATCAGGCTTTTTTGCTTCTTTTGTAAGTTCCCTTCCCTTGGCCTTAGAGTGAGTAAGGTTTATCTTGTTAAGATTTACGAGCGTGACACTTTAACAACAACCACAATATCAAACTGCACATCATGCTCCCTCATCTGGATCACAATTATTAAATTTTCCTCCAGTCTTTATACAACGACGACAAAGCTCTTGTCAGATTCGACTACGCCACCGCAGCACCTCTACGGGACAAAAATGGACGCTGCATGAAAGTGAACATAGGTATATATGCACGTTCTTGTCCTGTGTGACTTCTTTCAAAATGTAAATGTTTCATGTTTCCATCAGCCTTCTTTCGTTCTTGTTGTAATCATCTTATGAAGCAACTCATCTGATGCCATGTAGGATTGAGATGTGGATGACCCTGGTGTTCATCTTCAATTGGGCGTGTTTCAATTTGGGTTGTTCTTTCAGTTCTAAATCCGCTTGGCTCAGCCCTCTAGAAGAGAGAAGTTAAATTTAGGGATTCTGCCTTTAAAACAGCTGTCTATTTAGCGTTTTCAGGAGCGTGGAACCCTTATCATATTATCTACAACAGTGAGCGTTGCTCATGCTGCTATAGGCGTTGAAAGATGTTTTTCAAGACCTGTTAACGCCTAATTAGAACTGGAGCTATGGTGCGGTCAAAGATTTGTGGCGCAACTTTTAATCAAAATATCTCCCCAAATATAGATCTAGAATGCAGATTTTCCAACTTTTGCACAATGACGTATATCAATTTTTCTAAACAGAGGCATTTTTTAAAAACCATCTGGCGCTGTATTGTAAAATTCCTATATATATAAATGCTACTAAAATATCCCCGTCGATAGTTTCTACACCTTTTGAAAGGCTTACATCCTATGAGCCGGGACAATAATACTTTTAAAAGCAAGTCCATCCTTCTTCTAATTGCGACACTATGCTTATGAAACTTACGTTTTGAGAACCTTTAGTGCAGTTAATGATGCAGAACAAACCTTTTTTATACCTTTTTTTTAAACTCCTTTTTTGCAACCATGGAAGATTACTTTTTATCATTACTATTCAAACCAAAACACAGTGGCACCAGCGCATCGATACTGAATAGGAGTGGGTTCCCTGTTCTTCACTTTTTCTCGTCGTATGTTATACCAAAGAGTCTACATAACAAGAGGGTGCACTCCTCTCTTTAACTTCAAGCCAGTTAAAAAAGTGTCCTCAAAATTCGTTGGCGCCCTCTTTACAAATGCGCACCATTTGTGAAAGAGTTACCCTACTTGTGTTTGAAAAAAAATCAAAGTGAAACTAACAAGTTTTTGAATAAATAAGAATTCAAATTTCGGAAGAACTTAAGAAAGAGAGACGGGAGGTCATTAAACTAAAAAAAAACCTAAAACTCCGCACTGAACGAACCTGAACAGCTGAGGAACAGCAGTCGATCTGCGCATGCAAGGAGGTGCTATTCCTAGTCTTCTTCTGGAGAAACGAAAGAGAGCTTCAAAACAAAGACTGCAGCGCCATCTGAAGCAAATGAGCGGACTTCTGCAGACACTTATTTTGGCTGAGTGGACCATCTTGTTACGTACTATCTTTGGTTATACTTATATATTTGGATTTGTTTGTTATAATCTATGAAGATTGTTTGAAGAATTGCACATTCTTACTGGTATCAAAGAAAGCCAACAATGACTAAGTACCCATGTTTTCTTTTCTTTTGTGTCCGACCAATACTTTCCACGAAACCAGAGCTCCACTACAGTCTTCGTTTTTCTTTGTTCTAGGAGAGCCAGGCCTGTGCCTGTCGATAATTCCACCAAATGTGTTGGAAAATGGAGCTTATCGTATCTACCACGGACCAAGCTCAAACAATGAGAAGAAAATGGCACGGGACGTGTTCCAGGAAGGAGATGTGTACTTCAACTTTGGCGACGTGCTCGTCATGGATAAGGACTACTGGGTATACTTCCACGACAGGATCGGAGATACATTCAGGTTAGTTTTGATATAAGTTCATGTACATACATGTAATGTACTTCTTAGACGTTCTAGATCTAGTAAATAAGTGACGTACTAATCGAAAGACTAGGCCCATGAACAACTACCAAAGGATTTCTTATAAAAAATATTTCGGTGGAGAAAAGTACCGAAGCCTTATGTTTAAGGGGAATGTGTCAAGCTAAACAGGGGTCTTCTGCTCCCCATTTTTATCTCCTCAGGCAGATGAATTATGGTTCAAAGCATAGTTACATTATTTTGGTAGGGTATGTGCACAGCGAAAATGAACAGTCATACAGAGCATCATTTAATCTCAAAGTAGTTTCATGAGGTATTTTTATGTCAAAAGGGCCGTCGTTAAAATGTGTCGCTGGTGCACCTCATTAGCAAGTAGGCATTCCGGTGGGCTAGTATTAAAAATGACTACATATGTATACTGTATGAAAAGACAGTGTTGATGTTGTCATAAATTCATCAAATTATGTCTATGACAGATAAAAGACGAGAATTTAATCTTTGACCATACATTATATTATCATCTACAGATGGAAAGGAGAAAATGTTTCCACATTAGAAGTGTCCAACGTGATGACTTCTCTGTCTTTTGTATATGACGTCTACGTCTATGGCGTCAAAGTCCCAGGTGTGTTTTATGACCAGATCCTTAACTCAAGTGTCATACATGTATTATTTTATGGTTAGAGCTTACTTTCAGTGAGAGCTCGGAAACTACTTAGGTGGTTCAAAAGTTTTGCCTCTTCTCCAATAACTTCTAAACTTTTCAAGGCATCTTCATGAAATTTGTACACAATTGACTTTCGATATGTACACTCTCAAACCCCCCAAAACAGAATTATGCTATGATGTCGCACCTTTAGGCTATTGCTGTTTACATCATTGAAGCTAGGGTACATTGTCGCCGAGAAAATGGCGTCCAGCAAACCTATAAATGCGCGCTTAAAGCAAGGAGCTGTTATTGAGTTTCTTACTGCAGAGGGAGATGCACCCATTGATATTCACACGCAAATGAAGCTTGTCTATGGTGAAGCATGTGTAGATGTAAGTGCTGTTCGAAGATGGGCTAAGGAGTTCGCTGAAACAAGTCCAGCAGAGACAGATTTGCATGACCAAGCTCATTGTGGTCGTCCCAACTCTGCCAGTGATGTTCAACACAAGGAGAGAGTGGATGAGATCATCCAAGAAAACCGGTGGATCAAAGTAAGAGATGTCAGTGAAATGCTAGGGATTTCTGTAGGGAGTGCTCAGTATATCATCCGTGATGTGTTGGGTTACAGGAAAGTGTGTGCACGGTGGGTTCCCCACATGTTGTCCCCCGAGCTGAAATTGAACCGAAGTCAAATTAGTGATGAACTCCTGGCTCGTTATACTGATGAAGGTGAATACGCTTTCTTACGCCGTATAGTCACAGGAGACGAGACCTGGGTACACCATTATGACCCAGAGAACAAAAGACAATCGAAAGAATAGAGGCACACTGGCTCACCTAGCCCCAAGATGTTCAAAGTTGTTTCATCTGCAAAGAAAGTGCTTATGACAGTGTTTTGGGACTGCGATTGTTTGATTTATATGGAATTTTTGGAACAAGGTTCCACTATCAACTCTGAAGGATATATTGAGAAAACGTAGAGCACGGCTGTCACGAGTGTGGCCCGAAAAAAAATGAAATTTTACACCACGACAACGCCCGTCTACACACGAGTCGACAAACTCAAGATGCCATGAAAAGTCATAGATTTCAAGAGACCTTACCGCACCCATCATACAGTCCAGACCTTGCTCTATCTGACTTTTATCTATTTCCTAAGTTGAAGGAGTACCTCAAAGGAAAACGTTATGCCGATGACGATGAAGTTCAAGAATATGTGCGTCGCTGGTTCAGAGAAAAAACACATTAATTTTTCGCAGACGCCATGCGACAACTTATTCGACGTTGGCGGATCTGCATCGACAAAGAAGGCGACTATGTTGAAAAATAAAGGTACTTTCATGTAGCAGACATCCTAAGCTTTCATTTGGTGTATAACTTTTGTATGTAGTATCAGTAATAAAGAAATTATGAACTTGGTGGCAAAACTTTTTGAACGACCCTCGTATTTGCACGTTCACGCCCAGCTCAAGCTATTGATCCCATTTGCTTTAAATGTTTTTATGTATCCTTAAACTTAAATTGCAAAACACGAACAATTACTTCAGAATGCTCATCTGTCTCATTGCTAGGTCCACAAATAAAATGTGCTACGCTTCAGGTCTACAGCCCCTAAATACAACAAAAATGTAGATCAATGTATTTGGTGAGCATGGCATTTTCACAAAAGTATGTTTCGTAATCTTATGTCACCTGTATTCGCTGCCATCATTAAATAATAATATGTTACTTTCTTAAGGGCATGATGGCAAAGCGGGAATGGCTGCAGTGACCATGAATAAAGGCCAGAGTCTGGGACCAAAGGAGCTTCTGAAATTATATGACCACGTGATGGTGGAGCTTCCCAACTACGCAAGACCTTTGTTTTTGCGAAACTTAGGGCAACCGGTGATTACGAACACTTTCAAACAACGCAAAGTGGAACTCATCGTTGAAGGCTACGACCAAAATGTAATTACAGACCCTTTGTTTTTCTTGGATCATGAAAATTCCACTTACAGTACTCTGACGCAGGGACATCTTTCTAAACTTTTATCCTCCAAGTTATGATTTTCTAGATTTGACAGAAAGACGTTATATCTAAACCAAATTTTGTGACAGAAATCATTTACAACCAGCACCTTAAGTTAAGGAATTACAGATCTGCTGTATAGTGCGTGCTTTTGTGAAAATTTAAAGTCTTCGTTGGTTACTAGCGTATTGTTTTGTCGTTGCTATGCTATGTTTCCTTCTTAATAATGTTGGCCCGTCATTCATGTTGCTTTTGACACTTTTGTCTAGTGGAAACTTGTAATGTGAATTAAGCAAAGTATGATCTTTGATTCTCAATCTCACACTCAAGGTTTTTCAATAGAAGAAAAAGAAAAAGAAGAAGAAGAAGAAGAAGAAGAAGAAGAAGAAGAAGAAGAAGAAGAAGAAACAGGGAGGAGGAGGAAGAGGTGCTGGAGGAGGAGGAGGAGATGGTGGATAGATTGATATATTGATAGATTGATAGAAAGAGCGATAGGGAGATAGAGGATATAGACAGACAGAGAGATGAGAGAGAGTGAAAGAGATATGAGAGAGAGAGAGAGAGAGAGAGAGAGTAAAAGAGAGAGAGAGAGAGAGAGAGAGAGAGAGAGAGAGGGAAAGGGATTGGTGGGGTGGTGGATGAGAGAGTTGTGGGATGGGAGCTGAAATTTGGAACTATATATTATTTAGTATTATTATTAGCTGTATGCTCCAACCATAGATGTACACTATAGTACTAGATACAGTACGCCCCTCTCTCGCCTTGCTGCGCGATGGCCACATTTGACAGCGGCGTCCGCTATATTTTTTTGTGGCAAGTTGTGTGAAGGAGTTCATGCTAAAGCAATGGGCTAGGCATGTTTTCTCTCTCTCTCTCTCTCTCTCTCATACGCGACAGGCGAGGCTTGGTTCTTGTCGATTTTTTTTCACATGGGCGCCGTGGCGTACTATATCTAAACTACTAAATTGCAATAATACGGCGTTCTTTCTACAACTAGATCTACAAATAAATGTATTATTAAATAGGTAGAGATAGAGATATGGGCTTTTAAAAAAAGAAGAAAAAAAAACAACCTTTATTTCTTCATCAGCACTTTATCAACGAGGTGGTTTATTTCTTATTGACCGAATCAAAGCGTATAGGGCCTATAGAACTTTTAAAAAGATGTGGGTGTCATAAGAACCTCCTTTAACCACCCCACCCTCTCTCTCCTCCCGAATCCCAATACCAACACCCCCACCGCGGCCCCCCTCAGATATATGAGTTTGGCATTAAATTAAATCAGGATGAGCCATAGGAGTTTTTGAACCTTTGGGTGTAGGAATGCAATGAATTAGCTCTTGATAAAGCAAATTCAGTCAAACAAATGATGAATACATGTACTGGTATTTTTAAAATCGAGTTAAACTTTCACTTGTGACATTTGAACAGGAAACTATTTTTCATTCATATGTTCACTTTAAAAAAAAGGATACTAAATTATAAGTAGTATTTTCTTATGTCGGTATTAAACTTTGGTTTATATTGATTTTAAGAACTAAAGTAGACCCTATACAGCACTTAAACTAAAGCTCCTTCTATTGCTGTTTTAAGTAAATCTAATTTTGGACATTAGTAAAACAACTGTGACAACTCTGGACTCACTAAAGATAAAAAAGTGAACTTAAATGTTGTTTTGTAGCCTAGTCAATTGTTTTTCTACTCAATGTAGTGATAACTGAAATAAAAACCTTTACTAAGGTGTTTTTGGATAATATTCAATCAAACAAAACAATAAAAAGTACACTGTTTCAGTTTGATAAAGAAATTTCCTGCCCATTGTGAAAAAGATCTAGCTGCTAGTCAACCTTAACTTCACATGGCCCAGAACCTTACTGATGGCTCTTTATGTTTTAAAAAAGAAACCCGGAGTGACTATTTGTTATGCACTAAAATAGATGATGTAATAAAAGAAAACAGACATCACTGAACTGCCTGACAGAACCAGTAAGACGTTAATCCAGAAAGCGACAAGAGGTTTCACATGCTTGCACCTTTAAGAGAATCGCTTTGAATCAAAACATTATGTTAGAATCAAATAAAACACGTAAGACTAAGAGCAGAGACACGCCCACTCGCATGTAAACAAACTTTTTAGCCACATTAAAAATGGCCGCCAACAAACTCAAATGTGTCCGTGTCACATAACCTCGTACGGACTCTAGTTTAAAAGGGGGTAGATCTAACTCTATGTATGGCTCCAACAGACATGAGGTTATATTATAATAATAATATTATTGTTGTTGTTGTTGTTGTTGTTGTTGTTGTTGTTGTTGTTGTTGTTGTTGTTGTTGTTGTTATGATGATGATGATGATTATTATTATTATCATTATTATTATTATTATTATTATTATCATGAGCGGACGCACGTCCGAACATTTACGTAAAAGGTATCTTAAGAAATGTTGTCCTTTACTTTAGGTATTTGTTTTGTTTTACCAAATATTATATGAATACTATGTGGGTGTTTTTATGAATGCATGTTAGTGTTAGCTGTTTTCACTCAATAAAACTTACAATCTAGATCTGGAGCTTGCAAGGAAACATGGAGTGGTTTTTGTTGCAGTTGTTTTTTTTTCGTGTTTCTTTTTAGTTAGAGTGAGGGAGGATACAAAGGAGGGGTGAAAGGGAGGGGGAGAGGTAGGGATTTTACTGTAGAAGCAAGATATATACATGTAATAAGCTTCTTAGACTTTCCCCGCAACCAGGGCCGTCGAGAGCCTGGTCGGGCCCTGGGGCAGCAATCACCTTCGGGCCCCTCCTCCCCCCGGCCCCACCCACCCTCACCTGCAATTTAATAACCCAACAAATACAATGTACATAGGCATATAGAATCACTTTACTATAGCATATCTATTACATACCAACATACGCTCTCTCTCTCTCTCTCTCTCTCTCTCTCTCTCTCTCTCTCTCTCTCTCTCTCTCTCTCTCTCTCTCTCTCTCTCTCTTTTTTTTTCTCTCTCTTTTCCCCCTGCTTGCGGGCCCCCCAAATCCCCGGGCCCCGGGGCATTGCCCCCCCCCCCCTGACCCCCCCTCTCGTCAGGCCTGCCCGCAACATCTTAATTGATTAGCACCACCTGTGCATTTATTGATCATTACTGTTGCAAAGGCAGAACACAATACGATGTTATTCCATCTACCACTCAGATGTTCAAGGTTCGAATCCAAGGATTATTTTTGTTCCCGTTCATTCAGCAATATAATATTGCCTGATTCTTATCTTGATTTCTGAACAAGCCAAAGTGCCCTGCCTTTGATAGATATCGACAACAACGTCAACAACAAAGAAAAAATTGAGAACAATGACAATGACAACAACAAAATAACAAGAACAACAAACACTTCATCATCATTGTAAACAGCAAGGAATTAAAAAAAGGTTGAGACTTGTAGAATTTCCAAGAAAATTTTATAAAGGTTTTTATTTGACAATCAACGTTTCTCCCGATCACGGGCTTCATCAGGAACACACACAAAATAATGTTAGATCTAGATCTAATGACTACACTGGCTATAGTAACCAAAGTGCGCGCATCTACTGCGTCACAATGCCAAAAGGTGCGATTAACGCAAATTGGAAAGACCAGAGAAAGGGGAATGCTATGGTAAGAAGTGGTATAAATATGATATATTATGTATATATATGTACAGTCAAATTATACATTATTATATAAGTTCTAAATCCACATTGATTCTCTTTGATTTAGATTCTAATCTAGTTTTTATTTGGTAGGATTTCGAACTATTTCAATGCCCTGAAGCTGCAGATCGGAGGCTCCGTTGTGACCATGACTAAGGAACTGTAGAAATGTTGGCCGACCGACGTGCAGGAGTTTTTCTGTATGGATACCTATGGTTATTAAACCTTGCTATAAGTGTGGTGGTAGTTTGACCTACATATTGGGCTGGACAGACTTTACATTACGTGATGTGAGGTACTGTATATTGCGGTTTTGGTTTCACAGGTGATGCTTTGAGAAAGTTTTCTTTTAAAGTGGGGGCCTTCTACAAAGTTGGTCACTTTCATTCATGTCAGCACATGTTTAGCATCAAGGATTTTGACAAAGATAATTTTGAGGGGAGGTACTTGGGCCTGTCGAAGGTGAAGATGTGGGTGTTACTGCTCTTGTGCGAATGAGGAGATTGCCAAGATTAGGGGGG